GTTTTTTAAATAAAAAAGGGTCCTTTTTCCCACTACAGATGAAGAAATTTTAGGTGACCACTAGGGTTTTCCCGGGAAAGAATTTTAAAAGTGATGATGTCGCCTATTTAAGCATGACCTCATAAGGAAGACAAAGAAACAATAAATAATTTATTAACAAATAATTATTCCATTATGATAAAGGATTGGTGAAAGTCAAGCAGAATGAAAAGGGGTTGGAGGGACAAATTCTTCACACACACCCCCCGCCCGCTTGTTAGAGATCTGCGAATAAAGAGACTGGACGTACGTCGTTAACTCTGAGTCGCTCACTATCAGTAAGGAGATCAGAGGTTAGGCACTGTGTTATATAGATACTATAACCTTATTATGATAAATCATAGGGGAGACCACAGGTCACCCAATGTAATCCATAAATGTTAAACTCTAATATATCATATATCTTATAATATTGAAGTTATTGTTGCTCAGCAACCCCCTCCCACTCTTCGTTTTCTAATACCCATCACAGATGGTTATTCACTTGACAAAAATAAATTTTCTGTTTTTTTTTTACACTGAAAAGACTTCACAGTATCACGATTTATTCTATTTTCACTTTACGTATGCAACGCACTACATTTTGTAGCGGAGTAAACAGACCCGAGAGACGTGAAGGAAAATTACAAGTTCCTAAAATTTGCAGAATTGCATAAAAGAAATTGGGCAGATGTACTGAACTGAGCCTCATACTTGTTAATTGGCAGTATCTTTCCTATCATAAAAGCTTGGAAATGTAATCTATGAAGAAGATCAGCCGAATTATTTTGTGTATAGTAACGCCAGTGAGAACTCTGAAATTTCCCTCTTTCACTTTCATTTTAGAGGTTCTACCGAAAAACAGCTGATGTATGTTATTTCAGTTTTCTAACTTGTTCTTACATTTTCTCTGGTTTAACTCAGGTACGGTGCCTTCCTGGATAAGAGGCACTTTACTCAGAAATGGGCCAGGACTGTACGAGTTCGGGAAATACAAGATGAACCACATGTTCGATGGAATGGCGGCCGTACAGAGATGGACATTTCATGATGGAAAAATCACGTATCAACGGAAGTTCGTCAACAGTCAGGCATTTCAAAAAAACAAAAGTGCAAACCGTATAGTCTTTTCGGAATTTGGTACTCACCAAATTCCAGATCCTTGCCTAAATATATTTCAGAGGTATTCGATTATTTTTTGTTGTTGTAATTCTGCGAAAAAAAAATGATGAGGGAAACGCGGCTCATTTAATTGAACACACTCCATATCGACCCAAGCATATTTTTATATAGAGGCTTTTACATTTCTGGAATATTTTATAACAAATTTAGTAATAAATCTTACGATATTTGACGTTATTCTGCAATTGAGAAAACGCTTGTAGCAAACCGAATTTTCGATTTGCCACAACAATTTCCCGAACTTTAGTTATTGTTATAATCTGTCCTGTTTCAGATTCTTTTCGTCCTTTACACATGAGGAGACTGATAACACCTGTGTCACAGTCTGGCCTCAAGGGGACAGGGTTTTTGTTTCTACGGAAACTATCAAATTTCACGAAATTGACCCGGAAACATTGGAAACTCTGCAAACAGTAATTAATACTAATTATATGTTTTGCTTCTTTGTTGTACATACACGAAAAATACTACATGGTTTTTTTTTTTTGGTCACCCGAGGCATTGATAAATATACATTGTACATGTATTTTATCTTTCTGTTTTATAGGTAAATTTTACCGAGTTTTTGACCATAAACAAAGCCACGGCACACACCCACTGGGATGAAGATGGTACTGTTCATCATTTTGGTTTCTGGTACAAAGGAAAGGACCCAAAGTATACCTTATTCAAAATTCCACCAAAATCAGGTGACTAGATAATTACCATTCCATTTATATCAGGGATCACCCGGACCAGGTTCCTGTTGCAGCATTTACTCTTTGCATGAAATTTATAACGGAGATAACGAACAGTATTCAAGCTAATATGTCCATTCATAATACAAATCAGAAGCAGAGCAAACACGGACATCTGAAACATCAGAGTTAGAATTTAAGCGGATGTCATGGAAGGAGCGAATTATATACTAGTGCATGTAAATGTATAGTGAGATATACCAGCAATATAGCACATTTTATAATTCCGTTAGTTTTTGTTCCGGCCCTGATGTCATTAATTCAGAAACCAAAATTCAAAAAATAGAGAACTTTCCTTTTCATTTGTAGACGTAAAGGAGGCGTATTCTAATGTGGATATCGTTGGGTCTGTACCCAGCAGGTGGATGTTCCACCCCGGCTACGTCCATAGTTTTGGCATGACGGAAGATTTCTACGTCTTTGTGGAGCAGCCTCTTGTTTTCGATATTCTGAAGTTTGCGACCATGAACATTACCAAAAGAAGAATTGAAGAAAATCTGACATGGTTCCCAAAAGAAAAAGTAGGTCAAAGTAATATATGAAGCATTTGTATACTAGTAAGCATGTCCCGTAAATTGTGTAAAGCACAATATTTTTGAAATATTAATCAATGTTTAATGTAGATCTAAATTAAGTGAAAAATATATTCCCCCACCCTAAAAATCATATAAATAAACAGTTGTTTTTAGGCAATCATTGGGTTGTTTTTCAGACGTTATTTCACATGTTGAACAGAAAGACCGGAGAACGTCACAAGCCCTCAGTGACATACTGCGGGGACCCCATGTTTACTTTCCACATCATCAACTCCTACCAAGAAGGAGGTCTGAAAGCAGGGCATTTTTATTAATTTACTAAAAAGTTAAACTTCCTGAGTTTTAGTACATGTATTTGAAAAAGAAATCATTTTAATTCAAAAAGTAAACTTTTAACAAGAGGCCCAGGGGCCACAGCGCTCACCTGAGCACATCGGGCTTGAATTTAACCCCCCCCCCCCCAGGCATTCATCAATTGAACAAACTAGAATCTACACTACCTGAGGATGATTCCATATAAATATCACTAGTCATAGCTTTGAAGTGCTTGAAAAGAAGATTTTAAAAGATTTCCCTATATATCCCTATGTAAAATTTGGGTCGGCCATTTTGGCCCCACCCTAGCCCCGGGGTCATGATTTGAACAAACTTTAATCTACACTTGGTTCTTGAGAAGAAGATGAAAATGTGAAAAGTTTACGACAACAACGACGACAACGACAACGACAACGACAGACGACGGGCAAATTTTGATCAGAAAAGCTCACTTGAACCTTCGGCTCAGGTGAGCTAATAATAATAAAGAAACAGAGTAAAAAACACACACGTTCCCCAACTTCGTTTGGGGAACATAATAATAAGAAACAGAGTAAAAACAATATGTTCCCAACCTTCGTTTGGGGAACATAATAATAAGAAACAGAGTAAAAACAATATGTTCCCCAACTTCGTTTGGGGAACATAATTAATGCTCCCTCACTCCTATTTTCGCATCTTTCTCGATTATAGTTGTTCGGGCATGCGCATTGATTTTCAGCCAGACAGTGACCTCCATTCAGACAGGTGTTGGGACACAGGGCTAAATCAATGTTAAATCAAATTATATGAATAATAGACATACATGTATTTGGTACCTTATGATGCATTTTTCCATACTTTCAAATAGTCAATGTTAGAGAAATATTTAACTTACCCTCAGAATTGGTGCACCCTAACAGGTCAAACCTTAGACACGGACTGTTCTGGTATTGGAGGATGTTGATTCTAAATCTGGTCACAACAAGTCCTGGATTTATTGTAATGGTTGTAGAAACCGTGTTGTCATCTTTGAGAGCGTCAAAAGGCTACCAATAAATATTAAAAGATTAAAAAAAGGGAATCAGTTCTTTGCTTGCCAATATAAATTTGAAAGTTTCTAAACGTTTATGTTAAAGTTCGTGTAAACAAACCTTGATTCTTATATCTGAGACTAAAAATTGAAAGATTAACAAAATATTGAAAAACCATGCTGGTTTACCTGTGGCTGAGATGAATCAGATGAAATATACTGCCAAGATGCTAGCCCCATCAATATATACTCTAACGACACAGACTGTACGTAACCCGCGTGGGCATCTTCTGGTTTCTGAATGACCAATCCACGTATCCCTACACCTTGATCGAAGTCCACCTCTATCCAGTTATCTGTGGAGTGTGAATCTCCACACCACCCACCTGTCTCTCTTTCACCTGATGTATTTGAAGAGAGATGGATATTTTGTTTCCAGTGGTATTTTAACATTGTTTTCGAGCCCCGTGGGGATCCGGGTTAGAATAGGTTCTCAGTACCCCCTTGCTTGTCGTAAAAGGCGACTAAATTGGGCGGTCCTTCGGATGAGACCGTACAGACCGAGGCTCCGTGTCACAGCAGGTGTGGCACGATAAAGATCCCTCCCTGCTCAAAGACTGTAAGTGCCGAGTATAGGCCTAAATTTGCAGCCCTTCACCGGCAATGGTGACGTCTTTATATCAGTGAACTATTGTGGAGAGGGACGTTAAACAGTATACAATCAATCAATCAATCGAGTATCATTTGATATATTTACCTTGCTCATTGTCCATAACAGCAGATTTATTATAATTATCCGTTTTATAAAACTCACTTGCACAGCAATCAATTCTGGCATTTGTAAGACTTGTTGCTGATGGATTGGGAGTTTTAATCATGACCTCCGTTATATTGTTCCACAGGGATGATTTACACACTAAAAGACAAATGTTATAAAGAGTAGCTATCAAGTTACTATTTTTTTTGTTTTTAATAGCTAAATCCTACTAAGAATGATTGCCATTGATTGTTTGCCACTTATGTATTATGGAGTTACAAGTAAATCTAGTCGTTTTAATGGAACATCGACACAGTTTCAGCCAAAAATTTTTTAATTCATTTTCCATTTTAATATGTTTTAGGCTAAGCAATGATTGCAATTAACCATTCAATAACTAGAGCTCTAATGTAACTACATGTACGTTCTAAATCTATCTTATAAATTTAAGCCTTTTCAATTAAATTTTGACAAACCAGGGGCGTAGCCAGGGTACTTTTGATGTGGACGCCTGAATATAGACGTGGGGGTTGAGGACCGCATTAAGGACCTTATTGGGCCTAGGTCGAAACCCTATAGTGGGAGTTCGGAAGCTGGTAAATTTTCGACGATTTCGATGTGCGTATTTGACCCTCCTGAAAGCAATTTTTTATAACTTTCACACAGCAACATTTAATTTGAGGTCTGTTCTTTTATTAGACAAAATGCGGACAAGCACTCAAAAATAAGAAAAGATTTGTCAATAGCGCGTTGTTTGACGAGGCCACTAAAACAATTTAAGACTTCTGAAGCTCCACAAAATACGTATGTAATTCTTTTTAACTAATTTTCTTGCACATTAATACCTATCGGGTATATGTTCAATGTATACATTTTAAAATGCATACATAATGTTCATAAATATTCACAAATCTGGTATCTTTTACTTGTAAAAATTTAAAAAAAAAAACAAAAAAACAACAACAATAATACCCGGTATATATTATTGGTTGTAAGTTAATGTTACGGAAGTCAATGTTTAGGCCTTATTATTCCTTTCTTCAGTTTTAAAAACTGAATTTTACTAATTTTTCGATTTTTTGATAGTTATATATAAAGCTGAATTACAATTTTTTAAAGTCTTCCATGAAGGTTGAAATTTTGGGGGAAATATCGTTACAGAAGTTAAACATTACAGTTTGAAGTCAATTTTTTTGGGGGGGGGGGGGGGGGGGGAATGATGTGGACGTTTGTGCGTACAAACGTACGCCTGGCTACGCGCCTGCAAACATTTTGATTTTTTTTATTTCATGTATGTATTGTTGTGTGGAAAAGCGTTTCTCCTTATATTAATATCAGAAACAGCCTTTATTTCCATTTTGTTTTGCTTTATTTTTTCCATCAACTCAGCTGTGGACTTCCTCTAACACTACTCATATAGAGTTAGACTTCCCCCATACAGTAGTAGGCCTTCTCCCCTTCATATTATTTTACCTTTTATAGTTTTTTTTTAAAATCACTCTAACGAGATTGTTGCTTTCCATGATTAAAATATAATACTACTGATGTTTACATTTATAAAAAAAAAAATTAATTTTTTTATTTTATGAATTTTCCTTATACTTTCATTCAGAAAGATTCATCATCCTGTTGACGTGAGTTTTTAGGCGTCATACAAAAACTCTTACCCTGAGTCTGGAAGCGAAGAATCGACGTCAGAAAACGTAAGAAACAAAAGCAGCATAGGCACCGCCTTGATAGACTTCATTGTGACCAACGCCTTGTTGGGCCTGAAAAACATTATACAGTCCTCTATAATCTTTTCCGTTGTTTTATAACAATTCATATCTGGGAGAGAACTTAAGAAATAACTTTATACCTAAGACACACAAATAGTTCAGTTAAATCATGTCAATTCTTCATGGGAGATTAATTAAAATAACACTTTGTATAAGGTCACCAACCAGATATGAAAATGTCTTAAAAGTTCATCTAAAGACGAAAAGAAGTTCGATCTATCAATTTACTAACTCTGAGATTATCAAATTTCAATTTCAGTTGTAATTGTCAACTGCCTGAATGGATAGCGTCTGTGCATTTCTCTGTTCGAAAATTTGGTGCACCAGCAGACTCTACCAAGATGCAACTTTTTTCAAGTTTTTGGTTTCAATAAACGCGATTATTGGCATGACATGGGTCTAAAGATACAATTTCTATTCTCTTATATCCCTTCTCTTACACATTGGTAGAAAAGTGAACTACATGTTCATGTACAAACTTAGTTCTACATTTTTTATCAGTCAGTCTTATTGCCATGATTACTAAAATTCTAAGTTTCATATCTTAATTCGTTCAAAGTACAACTCATGGATTATTTTCTACGAACCTATTTATCCTGGCAGTGTTAAGCAGACTATAAGGTACAAGTATGATATCTACATGTATTTATGATTTTAGTTTGAAGGGACAGTGTTGTCAGGGTTATTAAAAAGAATAAAATTCTGAAATCTTTAAAATGAAACTACTCCTTTTACATTTTTATCCCGAGTTTTATTAAATTTTTATGTTTTCTAGTTTACTAGACTTTAATAGCTCATTCGTCAGTTGTAACATTTTTTATAATGATAAAATGTTCGTGTTGCTATTGTAACAAAAAAAGAATTTTTTTCAAAAACTTCTTTTAAAACACTTCTCTCTTTAAAAGTTTTAACTGGTTTCAAGAAAACTTTTTTCCACAAGTAGACTACACTAAAAAAAAATAGTATATTGATTTTTATTAACGATGTTCCAGATAGAATTATCTGTATATTTTATTTTTTAAAAATGTACTTCTTTTACAAATCAGGTCACGTTGCCACAAAATTGTCTAGATCTAGTTAAAAGTACAAACTAGTGCCTCATTCTGACCAAAAAACGTGTCTGACCAGAAACAGTCTCATCAGAGACTTCTGATTTATTTCCAGTTATGCTTCATAAAAAAGTTACTTTAAAAAAATATTGACTTTGCTGGATCATTTCAGAAATCAGAAAAAGGTACCTTAAGAATAAATAGAATAAACGCGAAAGAGCTTTTTCCCTAGATTTAATTATAAAATATAGTAAATTATTTCAGGCATCCTCGGGAACACACGGGTGATCTCGTCTTTACTTTAACTAGATCACCCGTGGGTTTCCGACGATGTATTTCAGGCTGTCCTGATATAAACTGTACAATTTATTTTGGTTAATAAATGTCATTGGGGTTGTGTCTGTCATTCATTTTCAATCTGAAGATTAACGATTTTGTATAGATGTGCATATATTAAAACTTTAAGAAAATTCAAATACAAAATTTTACAAACATTTCTTTTTAGAGATCAATTTTTCCAACTATCTATCAGAATTCTCGTGGGTACCAATGAAAGCTACTTGATAAACTCCTCTATGGCCCCTGCTCACCTGGTCGGGGTATAATTTTTTCATTAAAAGAAAAATAAGTAACGTCAGGTGCCTGTGGTTTCGCTGAATTTATGAGTTTTATTACTGTTCATACTCAGTAATCCTCAAATTTTATTCTTTTATTAAAACGTTTTGCGGGTGTGGTTACAGAAAATAAAGGGCATTTTATTAAAATTCTTCTTTTCTCCAAAATATCTCCTAAACATCATGCTTTCAAAAATATATACACTGTTAACAGCATTTAGATTTTATTTCGTACATACAACACAAGTCAAATACTTATTGTTTTGGTATGAAGAGAACCCCAGCGCGTAACACACAGCCAGAACGGGATGAACGAGTTTTCCGTTATATTGATGTGTCCAATGTGATAGTTTCGGGAATTTCGTCGAGAAAAATGTACTGTATGCTATTGGCTGGTCAAATGACCCCGCTGCAAGGTAATCTTAATTTAAGCTTTGTGCTGCATTCTCCAAATCGGAACGCAAACATTTTTTTTTCAAGGAATCATAAGAATACTGGAAGCGGACTTACTATGACAAACTGCACAGGGCATATCCAAAAGCGTTCGAATCGTATTCAGCACCGTACAGTGTATACATTGTAGCATTGAGAGTAATATCGTGCAGAGGAACGAGGACGAGTAAGTGTGAAAGGCAGGCGTATCATGGGTGTCGGAAGCAAATTGAAAGGGAGGGCTAAACCAACAGAAAACCCCCAAATTTTCAATGCCTATATAATGTCTATCTTTGCAAAAAATGGCCCCTAGCCCCCCCCCCCCCCCGGGTTCCGACGCCTATGCGTAGTCGGCTGCTCCTCCAGTATGTTTAAAATACGATCCACCTGCAAATCCTTAAATTATAAGCAATCATAAAAAGCAAATTAAGTTTTAGAAAAAGCATTGTTCACGATGAATTATAAAGAGATATTTTCTCCGCAGCTGAGGGACTTTTCCCTTTAAGTTTTTTTATAATTTAATTTTATTTTTTATTTGTCGTACAATAAGCATTTTCAAAAGCCTTATTCGCCCATGCTCAGATCTAGGGAGGGTTGGCGGTCCGTATCTCCCCCCCCCCCCCCGGAATTTGCAGAGATAATAAATTGATACACTAAGCCATGTTAAAAGTGACCTTGGACCCCCCCCCCCCTCAGAAAACGGCGGAGACCCCCCTCGAACGCAGGCCTGTGTGAAGTGGTATGAAAGATAATAGGTATAAAGCATTAGAAGACAAATGTCAACCACTTACCTCACCCCCACCCACCCCACGAATAGGATTTTCACGTTTGGCAAATTAGGTTTGTTTCGTTTTGTTTTTGGTTGTCAACAATTTTTTTGACTGGAGTATACCCCCCCCCCCCCCCCATTGAAAAAATTCCTGGATCCGCGTCTGTTGGACCATCTTCTTTCTGCATAATCTATCTTCAAATATTCACAATTCCATGTTTTTTCTGAAGAGTATGAAATTGACCTTGCGCTTCAAATTGGTTTATCCCGAAGACAATGTCCTATATTCCATCTACTTCACGAAATCTTTAGACCTGGGATCATGAACTTGACTAATCTTTCTGTTGTAAGTAGGAATGTAAGTAGGAATAAATGTTAAAGAAGTCAGACAGCCAAAAACCAATTTTCACAAATTGAAAATTTTACTTAGGTCTAAATCTCTTTCATGATCCCGGGCCAGGGCATATATGGATCATATTCTATTCTATTCTATTCTACAGGATTTTTTCAAAAGGGGGGGGGTCCATATCAATTCTATAATAAATGTCAATGGGATTTTTTGAGAATAAAAAACATTTGGAAACAAACTTTCTAGAATAAATTATCGTTATTTTTCCACAGCAATAACTGAATTTCACGGGGCGGCCGCGGGGTGGGGGGCGGTTGTCTCGGATTCCCCTTTACACCATTGCATGCCGCAAGGGGCGGCCGAGGGGGGTGGTCGGATTCCCCTTTAGACCATTGCATGCAGAAAATAAACTTTTAATAAATATATTTAAGGAAGAAAGCTTTTCCTTTAAATTGCATATAAAAATTCCCTTTACATTTTTTACATTTTGTTTTTTCCGCAGTATTTTTGCTCCACTGACCACCATAGATCACGTGACTGGACCTAATTTCACCACACTGAGATTGAGACTTGACTCGATAGCAGTGTTCTGCATTTTGCTTCTGCAAAAAGCCATTCCTAGCGCTCATTCAAAGCTTTCATACACTTCAACGGATACAGAAGAAGACTACTTTCAACTGAGGTAAGTTTATGAAAGTTGTAATAATCGATTTATGACTATAAAACAACGTATTTGTTGAAAACGTAATACGGCGGTAACTCGAACATTTCCCGCCGCCATTTCAGATCACTGCATGTCAAGCGTAAGAATAGATGGTTTATGAATTATTTGTTTACATATGTGCACTTCTGTATTATTGCTATCACCATCATTTAAAATTACTTGTCAACTGCATTTATTCTAATCATGCAGTAAAATCCTAACGTCAATGTATATATCGAAATGCTCAAGTTACTGTAACAATTATATTTTTCAATAATATGAATTTAACCTTTATTTATTGCAAGTTGAAATAATATTCTATCAACAATATTGATAAGAATCAAGATTTTTTTTCCTCTGGAAATGTAAGTCTTTGGTTTTTAATTTATGAGCTTCTCATACCTGTTGGTTAAACACTACTCACTGATCTTACCTGGGTGACCATTAAATGCCCTCAAGGGATGCACAACCTAATGGTAATTTATAACTGTGACCATTTAATTTTGGTGTTGTTGGCAAAGCCTGATAGGTCTTGGTTTTTGGTAATGCGAAAAATAATAAAGTCTGTGTGCTTGTATAGTACAGTTTAACTGGTTAATCAGCGATTAGTTCTAAGTGTTAGTATTGCAGACTTTTTGTCCCCTGCCTTTGGGATAGTGGAAGGACATTTAATCCATCGGTCAGTTTTGTCTGTCAGTCACAAAAACTTTAGCTTGGTCATAACTTTCGAATGAGAAGAGGTAGGACATTCATATTTCACATGTGCATTACCTATGACAAGTCCTTTTCAAATATACCATGTACCATGATTTTTACCCTGTGACCATGACCTTGAAATTTGACCTTTTGAACCAGGGGCTGACAAATAGATTTTTCAAGCACTTGCCTATGGGCAAGTGCATGATAAAATTTCACTTGCCCTACTTCAATTTTTACTTGCCCCACCAGCACTTTATATTCATCATAATGAATTCTAAATTGAAAAATTTTGAAGCCTAGGATTGTTATTTTGAATATTGGCGACATTTAAAACCACCTGCCATTAAGTACTATGTACCAAACAATCTGTTGATTGATTGTATGCTAGCTGTTTTACATCCCGTTCGAGAATTTTCCACTCATATAGACGTAATATTTCAGCTTTAGTCATGATATCTGCTATATATTTGTTTAAAATAATGGTTTTGGACCTTTGTTTTTTCTTTTCTCATACCTGGTATGCTTACACGGTTTTGTACTGAGTTTTTCACTAGGCCTAACATTGTTATGGAAGATGTATAGTAATTTAATCATCCCTCGGCTTTCGATCGTTTTCTGCCTCATAACTGTCAAAACTTTCTCCATTTCTCCAAATGCCAATTTGTCACTTTCAATTAAGTACAAATACAAGTACTTAAAACTTTCGGTAAAACTTGTAATGAATTGCATAATGATGACACAATTAAACTGGTTTGCATATGAAGTGTGAAAAACAAAGGATTCAGAAGATAACTCGTGCAACAAAATTAATTTTGATTTCGTGGAAAACTTTGACATATTTTGAAAAATATTTATTGATTGATTTTTTTTTAAAAGTCACTTGCCCACCGGCAAGTGCCTATTAAAAATTCACTTGCCCACCTAAAAAATTCACTAGCCCCGGGCGTTGGGCAATGGGATTTGTCAGACCCTTGCCTTTTAAAAAAATTGAATATTACATTAAATTGGCCTTACATTTTGAAAGAGAAAAAGGTAGGGCCTTCATATTACACATGTGTATTACAGTACCTGTGACAAGTCCTTTTCAAATATACCATGCATGATTTTTACCCTGTGACCATGGCCTTGAAATTTGACCTACTTTAAATAGAAAGGGTTTATCTTTCATTATAACTTTGAATGAGAAGAGATCTATATACTTTCATATTCCACATGTGTATTACCTGTGACAAGATCTTTCTAAATATACTATGATTTTTGACCCTCTGACCTATGAAGTTTGACACACTTTTCAAAAACTTACCTTTCATTGTAGCTGCAGATCTGTAGCTTTATGGTTTTATATATCTGACTTTGACCATAGCGCTACAGATCCTGTAATGCAAAAAAGGTGCAATTCACGGTGCAATATTTTTTGCACACTTTTTGGGAGAATTTCTCCACTTTCTAGCATTGGTCAATCAACTACCTTTCACTCCCTAATTCTAGACGCATTCTGTAGCCAATATGTATATTTTATTCACCTCCAAGCCATTCATAGTTGTCTCTACAGGCAATAAACTTGCTTGAAGTGACTTTTCAGCAATTTAAAAAATAATTTTAATCAAGCGAGTATATCACTTATAGAGACTTCTATAAAGGGTTAGGAGATGGATAAAATATACAGATTAGTTAAATAATGTGCCTAGAATTAGGGAGTGAAAGGTAGTCAATTGACCAGTGCTGGAAAATGGAGAAATTCTTCCCAAAATGTGCCAAAAATATTGCGACGTAAATTGCACCTTTTTGCATTACGGGATCTGTAGCATTATGGTCAAAGACAAATATATAAAACCTAAACACTGCACACAAAAGAGATCTATACTTAAAGGGTAGTTTTATGCAGTTAGCAGAGTTCTTGAAATCTTTCGGTCCTGTCGGCAAAACCAATAAAAACAACCAAGGACCGATTACTTTGCATTCTGTGTCAGTCCAAATGACCGGTAAGTTTTGACAGAGGAACTTGCGACAATCTGACCAAATATTAACCGACAGATCTTAATTAATCTTTCAAAGGCTTTTCTGTATCTTGTAATACCTTCCTTGATGAACGCAAGTGCCAAACTATGATTAGTAAACTACTGTAAATCACTTTTAGGTCACCTGAGTAAACTCAGGTGACCTATTGCTATCTGTTTTCGTCCGTCGTCGTTCGTCGTGCGTCGTTCGTCGTGCGTTAACATTTGAACATTTTCAGCTTCTTCTCTACAACCACTGAACCAATTTCAACCAAATTTGGTACAAAGCATCTATGGGTGAAGGGGAACAAAAATTGTGAATTTCATGATCCCTGCCCCCCTGGGGCCTGAGGGGTGGGGCCAAAACCACTAAAATTAGTGCAATCTTTAAAAATCTTCTTCTTTACTCCTGGACATCAAGCAGTCAAACTGTTTGCATGATTGTAATCAGCAATGAGTCCTCTACCAAAATTGTGAAATTCATGGCCCCAGGGTCAGGGGTTCTAGTGCTAGGGCGGGGCTAAATAAGAGGTAGTAAAAATGCATTATTTCGTTGAAAATCTTCTTCTCTGCTCCTGGGTATTAAATAAACCAACTAAGTACATAGTTATGATGAGCAAGAGTGCCTCTACCAAAATTGTGAATTTTATGGCCCCAGGGTCAGGGGTTCTGGTGTTAGGGCGGGGCTCTATTGGCTATATAGTGAAAATACATTAATTCTTTGAAAATCTTGTTCTCTGCTCCTGGGTATTAAATAAACTAAGTACATAGTTATGATAAGCAAGAGTGCCTCTACCAAAATTGTGAATTTTATGGCCCCAGGGTCAGGGGTTCTTGTTTTAGGGTGGGGCTCTAATGATTATGAAATGTATGAATTCTTTGAACATCTTATCCTTTGCTCTTGGTTAATATGCTAATGATCTAATTACATATCTAAGGCCAGGATTTATTTTATTTTCAGTTTTACAAACCCTCCGCTCAAGGTTTTGAACTTTTAGAAAAAAATAAAAAATTTTTTCTTTCCTATGTCAAATTTGAGTCGGGATCGAGATTTCAAATTTACGAACTCGCACTTCCGGTTTTTAGATGAAACGGCGGGTAAAAAAGCTACATCCAAGAATTTAGCATGGTTTAGTGTAAAATTCATCGATAAGAGTGCCATTCAAAACGTTTCACCCGTTCTAAGGACAAATAAAATGCTGACGACTTTGTTGCACAACGACATGCTGGTGAGATAATTATATATTCGTTTCAAAAGTAACTGTAAATTATTTTCCTCCCCCAGGTTTTAAACTGCCCGTGGTAGCTATTGCATATTGCCAGGGACATTGTTTAGGTCTCTGTTATAGCTTACAGTCTAAGCATCATTCTTCAGAAAATGGTTGCTTATGCATCAGATGTAATGAATAAAACTATGGGAGAAGTGAAGTCCATTTGAGGAAGAAATAAACAATAACCTGAAGTGAAGAAATAAAAAAAAATCCATCTATTAAAAGGCAAGAATATACAAATATATACAGGCATGTAGTATCATTTGTATCAGCCAGAAAAATTATTTTACACTTAATTGAAAAAATGTTGACCCTACTCCCCAATACCTCCTGTCTGTTTTATGATAGGAATTATAATTTTAGGCATCAAGTAAATTTTTAGAACAATGTCTACACATTCACCTAACACATATTGAGTGATGTATTGAAAGACTTTTAAAGAATTGATTTTTTAAAATATATTTTGATCAACAAAAAATTTATATAACTGGCCCAAACTGGCAGATGATGAAATAAGCAATTAAATGTTCTACTTTCCTATTTGTAAGCATTATGTGTCCAGTGGTAAGGAGCCTATTAGGATAGCATAAAAAAGAATGTACAAATGTTAATAATTGATTTATCAAAAAATTTATTTCCTTTTCCTTTGGGACTTTTTTATTCTCATGTTCATAACTAAACCTAAACATAAAAAAAAAAGCTGGCCTTATAATGAAGAAAGGGTCCTCTTTCAAAATAGATAATTTCAGGGCTGCTGGGTCAGGGGTACCAAGGGGGTACTTTGACTAAAAATAAATTAATGCTTTGAAATCTGCCCTTTGATAAGCAATGGTGCCTCTTTCAAAATTCGTGAATTTCATGGCTTTTGGCTTAAAACACGAACCAAATACAATTGCTGGAAAGTTGTTACATGATACTCAGGTGACCTATAAGGCCCGTGGGCCTCTTGTTATTCCAAGAACTTTATTTTCATGTAATTACGGTATGCTTGCGAAAATTTCATTCTCGCGTA